ATACATGTATAATAACATGTATAATAGCATATAAATAAATAAATAAACATATATATAATTGTGTGTATGTCTGAACGTGTGTGTAGTGAAGTGTGCACCCGCGCGTGCGTGCTCGTGTGTGTCTGTCTTCCTGCTCGTCAAGCAGTCAGCAACTTTCGGCCATTTTTGGTTGTTTTCCTCAGCACAGGAGGCTGATCTGGGGAGGAGGAGGGTGGTGCTCCACACTGAACCTCGGGCTGCTGTGGAGGAAGATAAAATGATCCAGGATCAGCGTGTGTGTCGGTGTCATGCCATCCCCCCTCGCGCTGCTCGGTGCGCGCCAGCCTCGCGATAGCCTCGCCTACTGGAATCAAAGCTCCGCTCGCGCACTGGATGCTGAGAGGCGCGCGGTGCGGTACGGTGCGGTGCGTGCGGTGCGGTGCGGTCATCATGCAAAGGTTACACCGGATCCGTCTCAGCGAGCCCGTGAAGAAGAAGCCGCTCCTCCGCAGGACCCGCACGGGTCGCAGCGTACGAGACGTCTAGCGACGGAAGAACCGACGTTTCCGGGCCCGTTCGGCGACAGCAGGTGTCGATGGACGCAAGTTTGGGATTTCCGTGAAAAGGCAGAGCGAACGCTGGCTCCTCTCGGCGGTAAAGTGGCTTCATGAGTGTCCAAAGTAACAGTGGAAGTGGTGGTGGAAGTTTGGAGGCGACGCCATCTTGGTCGCAGCTCTCCTCGTCCCCAACGATTTCTCAACAACATATAACGGCGACCGCAAAGAGCAAGGAAGGTACATACCAGCCCGCCGAGGGCACCGCGGACCCTGCGTCCCTGGAAGTGTGTTGTCTGTGGGAGAAGTGGCGGATCGGGGCCGTGTCGAGCTATCGTGTAGCGGAGTAGAAATGGATGTCAAGTTCACTGATGCCGTGTATTGGAAGCCAAACGTCAGCTGTCAGTGGAGTTGATGGCCAGTCTAAGTAGCAGCGGGCTATCGTGTCTGCACAAAGGCAGCGCTAGCTTCCTGTTCGCTGGCTGTCAGCCCACAGGACTCCTGCTTAGTTCTAACGACGCGGGGCGAAGACACTGTTTTTAATGGCACCTCTTATCAACAGCATCTAGTTAGATTGAGGAAAACAGCGTAGCGGCGTATCCATGAATGCACAGCGATGCACGTCCCCGCTGCTGTGAACTTGTGAACAGGCCCCATTTCATACTTTCTGCTCAGTTTGGAAGCGTCTGCTTTTACTGTGTTGTCGACGTGTGGTTGCTGTTACTTACTGTGGAGGTGATGTGACATACCAGCGGCAGCAGGCTAACATAACCCAAGAGCAGTAGTTCTAGGTTATAATACGTTTATTCATCCATGTACGTCGACAGCTGTTTGTTAACAAGTCGTCAAAAACATTTCAGATCACTACCAGGATGTTGTTGTTGAGACTTCAGTGTCAACTTTAAAGTGTCAAGTGTTAATGCACTCAGAGGCAGAATACTGCTGGAATATCAAGCTGTAGCTTTATAGATGTAAAGAAGCCAAATGACTCTGCCTTGTCCTGAGGTAACCTCACACAGGCCTTGTAGTGTGCTCTCAGTTTCTGTGCACACGGATTTCATAATGTCCATACTGCCTTTTAGGGCTGGCCCCGGTGCCAGAAGCTATGTAAAGATGACAGCCAGGAAATGTCCAATAAGGAAACAAACACTTAAGCAGCAGCACCCAGCAGGGAGCAGGGGACCTGTCTGCGTCTGTCTGTGTCTTTGTGTGTCTGTGTGTGTGTCTTTCCCTGGAAACTGGTCTTCATAGAACAGGGCCCAGTCCAGCAGCATATATGTCAGCCTATTTGCTTGTATTAGAGTCGTTTTATTCATATCGTGGTTGTGATTTACATCTGTACAGGGTTAACACGCAGACATTTGCAGCTCTGAGTGTATACTGAGGAAATTAAAATGTAAAACCAGGCTTTTGTAAAGCCCTAAATGGCCTGTAAAACAAAAGGCAGTTCCTGTTTCAACAGCATAATGAACACTGTTGCTCATTTGTAGCATCTTTAAGACACGATGCTGCTGCTGAAACATTTTCATTTACATTGCAGAGTGTCATGGATCAATCGTCCAGTGTCTCAGATGATGCATAGTTTCAGAGGTTTTGAGATCCCTTACTGTCAGAGCATTATGCACAGAAGCCATTGTTGCAGTCTGAGAAAAATGGAAGCGCTGGTTGTAGATTTGATGTGTTGGACTCGCTGCGTCTGGCCTCCGCTCTTCTTCCTGGCTCCCCAGTGGCCGAATGACCTTACTGCTCAAGTTAGAAATGCAGTGTCATCTTAAGTATCTACCATCATTGGAAGAAAGTGCATCTTTTCAAGAGCTACCTTCTGCACC